GTTCAGCAGATTATTTAGAAGTTTATAAATGTGATGTCGTAGCAATTTCCTTATCACAACTGATATTGAAATTATTATTTGATTAGCAGTTTCCCTATGTAAAGAATTGATTCCATTACATTTGAAAAATTAGATTGTGTTTTTATTTATTTTGCAAATATAGACATTGATTAATGTATAATTAATGTATAACTGTCCTATCTGATCATGTGATCAAGTTAAACCTAAATTGATCACAGTATAATTTACTAATGATCTGGACTGGTAATGTATTTTTGTTGAGCCACCTTTTATTGTGTTTTTATGGAGTGACAGCTCACGAAGTGCCAAAAGCATGTATTGAAGTTTGCACCAAACCTTTTATCTTTGAATTGAAAACTTAAATTGAAAGCCACCTCAGTTTAGCTGCCGTGGTATGAAGCCCAGAGCTAAGCAGTCTGGCTCGAACATGATCTATTGCTCTTCTCTTACTCAAACTCCCTTTGATGTATGGTAGTATTATCTATAATGCTGTCTTACATGATTCTTTTTTATTGCCAGTGTGAGACAGCAAAAACAGATTACATGTTAGATTAAATCAATACAAACTTTATTTACTGGGCTACTTTAAAATGTGATTCTCCTTTTCTTCTGACACCTAGTCGACCACACACACACGCAAACTCCCAAATCGTTGACCGTGGCTCCGCTGTGATGGTGGTATTTGGTCCCCCGTGGTTTTACTGTGCCACAACGCCAGTGTTGCTGCCTCTCAGCCAACGTTGTACACAGAAGTAGAAACACAGAATAGTGGCTACTCGGCCTGATCCACCCACTGCTGCACCTACTCTTTTTACTGGTATGGGATGCATGCCTGCTGAGTAACTGTAATAGAGAGCGTTGGCCACTAGTCCCGTGCAAGTGCCTCTGAATAGGGGCTCATGACTATAAACAAAAGCAGCAGGCCACAAAAGATGCAAATTTCTGTGTGCAACAAATCAATATGTGAACTTATGTCTTGGAAAAAATGCAGCAGATGTGTATTTTTAGAAGTCATAGATATGCTTGGAAGCATCTACAGTTTGAATCACGTGGGCTGTGTGTTGTCCTGCAGGTCTAACATAAATGAAAATAAAACTATAAATAGTTAGGGCTGTGTAGTAATAAGAATTGGCCTTTGTAAAGTTCTAACCAAAAGTATATGTTAAAAATGTTTATAAATAGTTTAAGATCAAAATAAAACTGTAAATACAAAATAAATAAAAGTTGTTGTCTTATTGTAAAGCCAGTTTATAGAAAAGACTGTTGTTTAAAAGAAAGGCAATCAAGAAAATACACAAAACATTAAAACAAAGTTATGCTACATATTTTAGCAGGCTGGGAATCATTTATTATTTTAATATAAAATCTGCAGCTTTTTATTCACTGGATGTAAAATCTATCTTGCATTCAATATACATTATATATTTTTAAGTAATCTCATAATAAAGGCAATACACACATATATGTATGTGTATGAATATATATATGTATATACCATATATGTATGTATTTATTTATGAATAAAACACATACATGCATTGTTTGTAATTTACAGGAATCTGCAAAATTCAGCATAAGAAACAGTGACCCAAAACTTTTGAATGAAATCTTTAGTCAATGGCCAGTTGGACACTCAACACACATGTTTAGAGACCCACTTTTCCTTTTCATCTATCATTGTTTGTTTGTTTTTTTTTTCATTATTATTATTATTTGAAAATACGAAATGCCATTGGTTGTGCACCTGTGTGGCTCACTTCTATGTCATTCAGATAATCAGGGGTTCAACATTGCAGTAGATACTATAAACACTTACATAGAGCAAGCATTTGTATACCGTGCCTGAGGGTTTGTTGTTTTGTTTTTTGTATTAAAGACACTGTAAGCGAGGCAAATGAATAGTATAATTTTTGGAGTTATGACTATCATCCAGGATAGTCAGCAAAAAGATGACAGCATCATCTCTCCCACCACACAGCTGTGGTGGGCAAACTTAAGAGCGTCAAGAGCAGATCTCACCTGTGGTCCAGTGTGGGCCAGAACTGTCTCTCATATGAAGGACTCTCTGTACGGGCACATACCGATTAGAACTGTTCAATTTCTTCACAACTTTGTTGTTGAGCATATTATCATTATTTGTGTTGACATTGTTAGCACAGTTACACTGGCATGCTTTCTTTATTTACATTGGTTAAGATATTCACAGAGGCAAAAAAATGATCATGAAGATGTGATGAAAAAAAAAAACTGATGCTGCTCTTTAAGTTTGTGTAATACAACACAAACTTAATACCGTCTTGTCGGTAACAAGATACCGACAAGACGGTATCTTGTCGTGAAAAATTACCCAGTCAATCAACAGCTCTCTCCATAACAGACATTTTTACAATTTACCTTTTTATGGTTATTAATGTGATTATACATACATTTTTATTAATTTAGTTTGAAAAAAGTCAAAAATGTTTTTGCCTCTCTACTTCCTTTTGTGTTTAAATACAGTAACTGAACCGATATATATATATATATTTTGTCATGGTGTGAACATAGTATTTTGTGCAATCCATGAAATGCCTATAGAGAAAAAGTATAGTTTTTTTCCAAAATAAAGAGAATACACTCAGTTAAAAATAATTAAAAAGCTCAGTATACATTTGGCAACACATCAGGTCAGCATGATTATTTTGACATATTACGTATATACAAATTCCAGTACTATAACAAAACATTACTACAACAAAACACAAAAGTTAAAAAACAGAGACAAGAATAGACTAAAAAGGGGATTCAGTAACATTCTGAGAAATTCCTTATATGTCTGCTTCCAAAATGTGTCTAAAAGAAGCATCCACCAAAGGTTTATACTGTTGGCCCAATATGCTATTTAGAGTCATATTGAACAATTAGTGTAATTTATTTTAATTCAGCAATTTAAAGAAAATCACACAGGCAAACCGAAGATTGTCATTTAAATAGCAGTATTCCAAAGAATGAATTTGTCGAGCAAATTAAGGTACTTCAAGTTTGCCCGTCTTTCAAATGACATTTAAAATGATCAAATTTATAAGTTCAAGTGCATGAATTGCATTTTCTAGAAAGCTTACCAACTTTTCTTTGAACTCGGAAAAAGTATACAGACCACAGGGTTTATCTTTATTTTCTCGTTACTCCTAAAGCAGAGACACTTTTGGATTTTACATTTTTTCAGCGAGGACTGTCAGCCAGAGGGCACCTAGACATGGAGTAAATTCAAA